ATGATTATATCTATAATTATAATTAATATCATATTTGCATCCTAAGTTTATCCACATTCTAAATTTATGCATTGTACCTTTTTCTATTAGTTCAATTTTATTATATTTCCCCTCTACTGATTCTGAACTGCTATCAATGTTCTTATCACCGATCATTTTATCTTTGATATTAAAAAAATTTAAAAATAATTACAATCGTTATTACATATATAGTTAATTATTTATTAATAAAACAGCAAATATGGTATTAATTAAACTTATAGAAAAGATTGTGGAGCATCTTCTGTAAATTTTTTAGAATTTTTACTTGCGAAATGAATTTATTATCAATGGCTGAACACAAAACGTTCGAAAATTGTTCTCTTGAATTTATCGCTAATTGTTCGCTCAATTTTTATCAAATGTGTCTGATGAGATGTTCTATATTCTTAGCTTTAATATTTATTAGTATCATTTTAATTGGTACTTTAATAAATAAAAAACTTTTATGTGTAGAAACTATTGATAATTATTTTTTTTATTTTTTTAATATTTTTAATAAATTTCGGCCGTTTTTGTTCACATCTAAGTAAAGTCCAATATGTGGTCGGGTCGTAAGCCCTTGAATGAAAAATTCGAACTAACACATCTGATTTCTTATCCTATTCGAACATCAGCCAACCTAGTAAGTTTCCTGTGCCAGATGAGGTCGCCTAGTAGGCTTGAACATCAAACAACCCAGTAAAATGCCTAATTTTGTGGCTCGCCTAATAGGCTTGAAATGACAGAGAACCTAATAACATTGTACGCCACTTAATCACTTATAACAAAAAAAAAGATTTTTTTCTTGACTTCAAGGAGAAGTTGAGCTTTTTTACCCTCTCTCCTTAATGATGAGCTCGAGACCTTTTAAGTATGAATTCTATCCTCAGCTCAAATATTTCCTCGCTACTTTTCTTCTAAAAATCCTATAATATTCCGTTCGTTATAACTTCGTTCAAAGCATTGGTTTTTACTGTCAGATATATCGAGTACGCGTAAAAATTAAATATACCCTAGATTTTATAATGGCACCATTTTTCTTGATAATAGATAATCACGCACTAGTCTAGCATTCGAACCGTGACACAAAATTATCAAATGTAAACTTTTAAATTAAAGCTTATATTTTTATAGAAAGAAAGAAAATGAAGTGTACATTTAAATATAAAAATACCAAATTATTTATTTCTTATATATAATAAAATAAAAAGAATGTTCCCAATCAAAAAATAAAAAGAATTTTTTAAGAACGTTAGTTCTCACGTGAATCCAAATCATCCAATCCCACAATTAATTAATAACCAATTTCAATTATAATAACTACTCAAATTTCGAGAATTATATAAAAATTTGCTTGCACTTACAGTTCAAATAAATAATTTATTTAATTTCGGTTAATTATTTGAGCATTCCCGTGCAACAAATTAAAATAAACTTTTTTAGAAGATTTTGACCTTTTTATTAAATGGTCATAATTTGTTCAGAGGGTTTGTACATACATACATACATACATACGTATATGTGTAAAGCAATTCTCTTTTATTTTATTTTTGAAAAAAAAATAAAATAAAATAAATTATGTAAATAAATAAATAAATTAAATGTGATTATTTTACGGCAAAATTTTTGGAAATTCATGATTCAAGCTTTTTTTCTAATTCTTGGATGTCAGTAATTGGCAACCCACAAGTGAAATTTTCGCAGATGTGAATTGATGGAGTTCCACCAATTTCACTTTGTAAAAGGCTTTTTACCATTTCATTCTTTTCACTCAAGACACCATCTTTTGATTTTGCTAATAAAACAACTTTGTTGGGAATAAACTTTGATCGAATCACATCAAGAAATTGTTGAACAGTTGAATCTGATTCATTTCCAACAATAACAAACTGAAAATAACAATAATAATAATAATAATTCATGTTTAAGTAAATTCATAAAAGTATAATAATAATTAATAATATAAATATGTATAATAAATTTGCACCTGTTTAATTCCTTTCAAATAAAGCATCAAACCAGAAACCAATTCTGGCATTGTGAACGGTGTCTTTGTTAATCTACCAGAAAAATATTTCAATGTCTGTTCTGCCTTTTGAATATAATCAGGTTTATTGGCTATATCACCAAGACGCAATAAATTAATCACCGAAACCGAATTTCTAATATAAAATTAATAAATAACGACAATAAAAATAAAATATAAAGTCGAATAATGATAAAAAAAAAATATAGATATATATAAATCAGCATACGCAGAAGGTTCGGCACCATCGTGATCTATCAACAACAATAAAAGGCATTAGAATTTAAGTTATATTATATTTTCCCAAAGAATTATTATAATCATTATTTACCATCTTTCATTCTAATCAAAATATCTTTAACACCTTCACCAACATTAAAATATCCTCCAACTTTTTCATCATAAAATAATTGATTTTGTTTATCTTGCAAATCAATCGCCCAAGTAAGATAGGATTCATTAAAAGTGGATTCATAAAGATCCAATAATCCTCCAATTAAGAAACTATTATTTGAATTAATCAAGTTAATAATATTTCATATAAATATAAATATTATAGAATTAATTAAATTATTTATTTATTTATTTTACCTATAATCATCAACAAATCCTTGGACATTTCCAGGTCCTTCTTTAAAACTTCTTAATAAAATATTTTTTTCCTTATCGTACAGATTTGATTTAATAAATTTCGCAGCATTTTCTGCTAAATCACGAATTTTTTCATCACGTAACGCGTTATAAGCTTGAGAAAGTCCAGATATCATTAAACCATTCCAAGATGTTAAAATTTTATCATCGCGATGTGGTTTCGGTCTATTTTCGAATCTAAATTTTGCCAATTTTTGTTTAGATTCCTCAAGTATTTCTTTTAATTCATTTAAAGTGATTTCAAAATGACGAGACGTTTCTTCGAGGGTATAACGTTGAATTAAGACATTCTACAAAAAAAAAAAAAAAAAAAAAATACATAAAAAAATTTTTTTTTAAAAAAAAGAACTATAATAATGTTCAATAGAATATAAAATATAAACACTTGTTTTTTACCTTTTTTTTCAATTCTCCCTGAATATCTTTACGTGGATCTACATTTCCATCTTTTTTCACGCCAAAATGCCAACAAAGAATTTCTGATTTCTTCTGGTCATTTAAAATTTCTTTAATCTCTGATTCTTCCCATACACAAAATGCACCCTCTATTTTTTATTTTTAAAAAAAACAAATAAATAAGTGATCAAATTGAATTTGATTATTCGATTAAAAGATTGATAAGTGTATAAATGATGGATAAAGGGATAAAGTGATAAAGGGATAAAGTGATAAAGGGATAAAGTGATAAAGGGATAAAGGGATAAAGGGTAGAACGAAACAAAACCTCACCAAGTTTATATTTAGCCCCTTCGTGGGAATAAGAATCAGCATCTTCAGCTGAAAAGAATCCACCTTCAGAATTTCCCAAATCTCTTTCTACATATTTGATAATATCACGGGCGTTCTATAAAAAGAAAAAGATATTAAATTTCAATATATTGGAAAAAAAACTTAAAATGCTTTTATTATTATTATTATTATTTTGTTTACCTCTGCATAATATTCATCTTTTGTAATCAAATAAACTTCAATATAACTCATTAATAATTGAGCTTGATCATAAAGCTAATTATAATTTCATATTCCATATATATATATATATATTTATTATATATGTATTATAAATTAATCAATTAAAGTAAAAATTAAAGTAATTATTAAAAGTAATTATCAAAATTTAAATTTAAATTTAAATTACCATTTTCTCGAAATGAGGAACATGCCAAAATCGATCAGTAGAGTAACTAAAATATATTAATAAGAAACATTAATTTATAAACTATATCAGAAAATATATTGAAATAAAATGAAATATATTATATATATAAGAATATATATATATTGACATACAAACCGATGAAATCCATTTCCAATGTGATCTTCATAAATTAATTTTTTTTACAGAGTTATTCATAAATATCAAAGATAATATAAACGTATGACGCTAAAATTTCGAGTTACGTACCATGAATACCACCCATCGCAATTTTCTTTAAAGTAATCTCAACCATATTTAAATCACGTTCAGCTGCTTGTTTACGGATTTCTATTACATTTTGAAATTTCTTCACAATTTCAGCTTCTCCCGTACAATCTTTAAAATCAATCCCTAATTTTGTAGTACCAAGATTACGAATTTCTTGAACTGGCATTATGACAATTCTATCATCTTTGACAATATCAGAAAGAGTATAATAATGGTGACGAAGTAAAAAGTGAAATTGAACAGGAGTTGGGAATTTTGGTTCACCTATTAAAAAAAGCGTATCATCATAAATAAACAAATCAAAGATGAATAAATCAAATCGAATAATCAAAGCAATAGTGTTCATAAAATTGATAAAATTTACGCATACTTTTTCCATCGAAACCTCCTTGCTCATCATCAAACGAGTCAACAAAATGTCGGTACAACATCTGTGCTATTCCCATGTTTAAATCAGAAACATCATAATCCGTACCCTAATAATTGTGTGATATTTAGTGACATTTAATAGTTACTTATTATGATATTGTTTTGATAATTTTCAAATGACTTACAGAAGTGTATTTTCGAAGTTGTTCGATTGTTTCAACTCCTGACTGTTTTAATTTATCAGGTTGTTCCTTCCATCTATGTAAAGAATAAAATTCGTCATTTAGAAAAATTTCATATATTTCATATTCAAATACACTTCATATATTAATTACTTACATATCAGCTAACCGTTTACATAGAGTTGTAAATCCAGGCCTAAGTTTCGAAATTTTGGAAGTTTTTAGAATTTAGAATTATTCAAAAAATTTTTATCAGATTTAAATAACTTGCCTTCCAAATTGATCAGTTGGTGGAAAATATGTCCCACCAAAGACAGCTAATGATATAAATAATTAATTAATTAGGAAATTTTTATTGTTATAAAAATTAAAAGATTTTCTACACTTACGATATAATTCTGGCTATAAAAATATAAAAATACAAACATAAAATATAAAATGTAAATATAAAAAATAAAATATAAATATAAATATAAATATATAAATATATAAATAAATATATATATATTAGATAAATTAATTAAGTGAATAAATATTCACAGTCAAAAATACACTCATGGGCCATCCTCCTCCTCCAGTTGTAGATTGAACAAAGAGCATATACATGCTATCAACATCCGGTTGAACTTCTCTAGATACAATTAAAACAATTCATATTTTTATATATATATATATATATATTAGAAAGAGATGAAAGATAATAATCATAATAATCATGCTACATAAAAAAATTAAAAAATCTTTAATAAAATACCTATCAACTAACAAATATATATATTGGAATTAATTTAGAATAAATCGTTTTTAATAATTAAATAATTTTGATTTAAGCGATTTAAAGAAAGAAATACCTTTAACATTAACAAAATTCTCATTCATAACTTTTGCAACAGACTCATTTTCGAATGATTCGTGAGCCTAGAAAAAAAAATTTTATATTTTATCTATTTTTTTTTTTCCTCCTGACAATAACAATAATAATAATAATAATAAAAATAATAAATTATAAATGTACCATTACGTGACACCAACTAATATGAATAAATCAAATAATTTCAATATTTTTATTTTTTTAAAAAAAAAAAATTTGATTAAAAATTATAAATTAACCATTACATACTGGCAAGTACTATAACCAACACTCAAGAAGATCAATTTGTTCTCTTTTTTAGCTTTTTGAAAAGCTTCTTCTCCCCATGGATACCAATCCACTATAAAAAATTATCAAAAATTTAAAATTATTTTTTGAGAACTATTTGAGAAAATAACCGAAAAAAAAACAAAACCATTACCAGGATTATTTGCATGTTGCTTAATTACAGATATTAATTAATATAAGTAATAATAATTTTAATATTAATTAGTATTGAGAAAAATAATTGAGAATTTTATTTTTTTAAATTTTTTAAAAAAAAATACTTGTAAATAAGGACTTTTCTCGTTTGAAAGCCTATTTAGTCTTTTAGGTGGTACCGATGAAATATCGGAACTACTGGAACTAGTACTAAAGCTAGTGGAAGCCATGTTTTTCAAACTGTAATTACCGTATTTAATAGGATAATTGAATCTTCTTAATACTTTTATCGAGAAGCATGAATTTGTAATTTTACTGAAACTTTTTATTCTCAAGATCATAAAATCATGTAAATATAATCGTTAATTTTTAAAATGAAATGATGATCTAATAATTTAATTTAATAACCTAAAAGGAACGATAAGAAGATATATATATATATATAAGAATGGTTACACTTGTGATACCCGAAGATCTAATATGATATTTATGAGTCAAGAAAAATTATAGCATAGTGGACATTTGATTTTATAGGTTAAAATTTGTGATGTTTATAAGGAGATCATCACATAAAAAATTAATTTT